CAGTGGAAGAGTGCATCTTTCTGTGACTCCAAGTCATTGTCCAATTAGTCCCATCCGTCTACATTCACTTGCCGGCATTAAGAGGTGGTTATCAAGTAGCGATCATGACTAAACCGTATCACACAACCCCGCCCTTCTTCAAGCCCAACACGCACACACACAGCGTCATCACTTGACAGTCTAAATCTGGTCAATCGAAGTCGGATGTGGATTGATCATCTATCCTGCGAATGGCTATGACAGAATCAGACACAAAGTACGCATGGGCGATGAATAAAATCATTTCTAAAATCAGGTAATCTTTGTCTGGGGCTTCGTTACCCTCCCCTCTTCTCTCACTCTGTGTCAATCAGCCAGTGAATGCATTCTCCATTCCAGTTTTTGATTGACATGACACAGATCATAGCTTTTTCAGTTGAATGACGGTCATCAGATGTGCAGTGACGGTCGCAGCTTGGATGACCGAATTACGTATCTGTAAAGTAATAGGCGCCGAAAATCCGGCCTCGACAAATGTGCCCACACTTGATAAAGCCTCGGTCTACAGTTCAGACTAACCTCTTTGAAGAAAATATACATTTGTTTTGTTTTTCGGCTTAGTGGTTCAGCTGTTCCCCATTCGACTCCCGGTTAGGCTTCAAATATGAAAACCGAATGCTTCCCATCATAGAATATAGCATTTCTGGGACGGATTACCCTATTTTTGTTTGGTAATTTGTCATTCTGTTTAGTGTAAAACCAATCACTTGATTAGGGATTCTTTCCTGGCATGAATTTTTCAATTGCTTCGTCATACGATCGCTTCCGTGTCTTTTTTCTACCAACAATGGCACGAAATGCGTCCTGCGGAGTTTGACACTGGTTCTTTCTCTATATTTAATCGCTCGCCAAAATAGGTCACAAGCGCTACCAATTGAATCTAAAACCTGCCAAACAGTAGTTTTCAAGTTCTATTTCTGCTCTAAAATTAAGGAATTGTAGAACACGTCAACAAACTGGTTCCCCCAGTTGTTAATCTTTCTCTATTCAAGCCCATAATCACAAATTGAAACCCAAGATTGATGTTCTTCTTCCACTTCTATTGTTTAGTGATTTTAATTATTACGAGTTTCTGTCTACTGGCTGTAGGACAAACTGTAATGAAAAAAAACTGTTTTGCAAACAGATAACTAAATGCTTCAATCAGAGGAGAATGCAAATGCTTACTACTACTAATAATAATAATAATAACACTATTGGTTCCATTTCACTGGGACTACAGCAGTATAGCACAGTTCGAAAAGATGATAACAACTGGGCTGGGATAAAAATTAGATACATGTATCTAAGGACGCAATGAAATAACACTGCCAATAAAACCATTCACACAGGGGCCATTGCTTGGATAATATTGCAGAGAATCGTAATGCGCTGCCACACAACCTTTCCATTATCTATCCTGCCCACAATAACACAATCCAGATTGTGTGTGCTTGAGGGCAGGGGGAGGGTAGCAAGGATGAGATTACAACGTCTACCGCAATGGACTCTCAAGTCAATCAAACAAACTAAGTAACTGACGTACGGCAGAGTGCATTTCGGGTTGTCGCACCAAACAGTGAGCAGAGAACTCTTACATGCTCTCGGTGCGATCAGTAGACTTAGTACAGAACGTTCCGCATCTGGGGTTGTCGGTAAGTTTGGGGAGGTAAGATTTGCATGAAATCTGACATACTTAGGGATGGTTGGAACCTGAAAATACGAAACGGTACCTTCTTCTTGTCAGTATAAAAACGATGACTGGCCTGGTTGAGACTTCTTTGCGAAAGCGCGTCGTATACAACTTGCTTCAAACAGTCCGTAATCAGCAAAGGTGGCGTCTGTTTGTAGTCCTAGCATTGTGACCTCATTGAACATACTTTCTTTGCTATCACACTGCAGTTTGCACTTATAGTTTCCTTGTTTCGAAGGGGGCATCTTCGATGCTATTTACTCTCGCGAAATCAGTGCGGTTTCGATCTACATGACTTGTTAAATAGATGTTCTTTCAATGTAATTTTCTACTTTATTCCAAATGAGTACCGCTCATTTTTACCCTAAATAATACCCATCTCCATTCAATCTAAAATATTGTGCAACCAGTAAGGTACATTTTGAAGTGGTTAGCGCATGCAACAGCCCAATGTGGACCCGCGAATTGCTGCTTCTGTCGTCTATTTCCCCCGGTAACTAACCATCATATACCATATACAAATGTGATTCGGTAATTTTGTTTGTATCTGATGGCTCTCGTCGAAACAAGTGAGAAAAGAGAGAATTTTATTAGAGTTATATCCGCGTATACCATTGTTGTAATGGTGGTTATTTCAACAAATGAGGTAGATGGAGAACTGTACGAGTACCACGAACGGATTGGTGAACACCACCCGGCGCGGCTGAACACCGACCGGAACGATTAAGTCATTCACCAATGCAGTGATTTGACACGTAGCTGAAACAAATCACATTGTGGACTTGGCCGAGGCTTTCCGTTCCTGTATAAAATTCGTGGGTGATTATAGAGGCAGGTTCACTGTCGGAAACTGGCTACAGAAGAAGTGGTGGGCATTCGTTTGCACAACCCCAAAAGCGACTTGCGCATGCGCTAAGGCTTCCATGACCCAACCAATACACACCGTATCACGAATAATCTCGATGATCGCATGAAAGGACAAACAAGTATGTGGTGAACCCGATTTCCGGTCCCATGATGAAATCGTTTCTCGTCATCTATGATTTTATTTTATTTTCCCAAGACAATTTTATTCGCGAGTAGTGATATAGATTTAAGTGTCTGGGTGTGAATACGAATCTCTGAAAACGAGTTTGTTCGCCTCTCTGTTGTTTTGTTTGAAAGTACTGTGTTCAGAAAAGCTGAAAACTGAGTTAGTCCTACGTACTGTAGAAAAGGCAGTTTTCCACTTCATTGCATTCAAGAAACGTACATATAAGGAAAAAAAATAATTCCACCTACCTAAGACACAAGGTTAGCGCTATATTCATCGAAATTTTATGCTAACTTGCAACCCCAAAAACTTTAAGACACCCATTGGGGATAAACAACCACATATTGGTTCGTTAATTGTATTATTCTACCTTTGTGTCTATTAAACACACCAAATCCTAAAGTCACACTCTGGCTGACTCTGTGGATGTATTCTTGTAACACGGTTTCCGATTCTTTGTTCCAGTTTCTCTCAGGCTTGGAATTATTGTTATTATTATTATTTATTCTTTTGTCCGTCAAACCCCCACTTTTTTCCAATGAATACAGATCCGGTGAGCAGGCTGTTCAATAGGGACGGAAAGAGGATCCCTCGGTAGTTTATACTACCACACACTCCAAGAGAGATGTGACCTGATGTTCGCCATCCTCAAAATCCAGGTTCTCACATTGGATATCTGAGGGAGTAGGTGGTCGTTCAGGGCCGCGCTGTGATTGTCTATCAGACAGTGGCCAGTTAAATTTGCTAGTGGTCTTGCGCCATTGGTCATCATCATCCTTCTCAAAACGGTAAATCACGTCTAAAATCAGTCTGACATCTTCGAAAGACCGGAGAAAGGAGTTGTTTCACTCCCGGCTGCCGATCGCTGACGGATCACTAACGCAGTCTGATAGCGCTTACTTATCGCTACTTAACTCATGGGATTACCTTCAGACATTCATATGACCCGGTCGAACAACATTTGCCGC